TGTGCTGGTGAAAGGTTGCTAGATGCCTGAGTTATTGTAGGCAGTGTTGGCAATGTTGGATTCCTTGGGTTGCGATTTTCCTTCTATTACTTTCTGTAGGGCTGGATTTGTGGCTACGTATTGTTTAAATTTGTTCTTATCCTGGAATGTCTTGTTTTCTCCATTGATAGTGAACGATAGCTTGGCTGGGTATAGTAGTTTGGGTTTGCATCCATGGTCTCTTAGTTTCTGCAGTACATCTATTCAGGACCTTCTGGCTTTCATGGTTTCCATAGAGAAGTCAGGTGTAAGTCTGATCGGTTTACCTTTATAAGGGACTTGCCCTTTTCCCTTTGCAGCTCTTAATATTCTTTCTTTACCCTGTATATTTTGTGTTTTGATTATTATATGGCGAGGGGAAGTTTTTCTTTGAACCAGTCTGTTTGGTGTTCTGTATGCTTCTTGACTATTCAAAGGAATATCTTTCTTTATGTTGGGAAAGTTTTCTTCCACAATTTTGTTAAAAATATTTTCTGGGCCTTTGAGCTGTGACTCTTCTCCTTCTTCTATCCCTATTATTCTTAGGTTTGGTCTTTTTATTGTGTCCCATATTTCCTAAATGTTTTGTGATGAGAATTTGTTGGCTTTGCAGTTTTCTTTGATCAGTGCGTTTATTTTCTCTATGGTGTCCTCAGCATCTGAGATTCTTTCTTCAATTTCTTGTATTCTATTGATTATGCTTGTTTCTGTGGGCTTTGCTCGTTGACCTAGATTTTCCATATCCAGCTGGTCCTCCGTTTGTGTTTTCTTCCTTGCTTCCATTTCAGTTTTCAATTCTTGAACTGTTTCCATTACCTGTTTGATCGTTTTCTCTTGGTTTCCCAGGGTATCATGTACGTATTTACTCATTTCTTCAAACTTTTGGTTATACTTCTCATCCATTTCTATAAGGGCATTTTTCACATGTTGTTTAAGGGATGCTATTGCTTTCATAAAGTCAATGTTTTCCACTTCTTCTGTGGTAGGGTCTTGAAGTCCTTCTCTTGTAAGATCATTGGGTTCTGGTGTTTTCATGTTGTTTTTCAGATTATTGGGTGAATTCTTGCCTTGGCGCCTGCCCATCTCCTCCTATTGATGCTATCTAATGGGTCTTTTAAAATCGGATCAGGTTTCCCTGCTGTCCAGGGGCTCCTCTTACAAAATGCCCTCGCTCTGTTTCCTGTCTCCTGCCGGGGACCAAGATCCCTCTCACCCCTCAGAAGGGTCTTCAGGAATAGGACCCGGCTCCTCCTTTGCCAGGGACCTCGCCAACCAAAGGCCTACCTCTTTGATTTAATTGTAGTGGGGCGATCTGCTCTCGGTGTTGCGCGCCGATCCCTGCGGCCTGCGTTGTCTGCCACTGCTGGTCCCTGCCGGCTGTCCTCCGTCCGCCGGCGCTGTTGGCCCGTCCACCTCCCACACAAAAATTGTATTAATTAAATCACTAGCTTCTTATTGGCTAACTCTCACATCTTGATTTAACCCATTTCTATTAATCTGTATATTGCCACATGACAGTGGCGTACGGGGAAAGATTCGGCATGTCTGTCTCTGGTGGCTCAGGGAAAGATTCGGCATGTCTGTCTCTGGCGGCTCCATTGCATCTCTCTCCTACTCCGCCTCTCTTCCTCCCAGCATTCAGTTCTGTCTTCCCTGCCTACCTAAGTTCTGCCCTATCAACTAGGCCAAGGCAGTTTCTTCATTCATTAACCAATGAAAGCAATACACAAACAGAAGGAACTCCTTTACCAGGTAATATTCTCAAATTAAATTGGGTTCAGTAATTTCTTTTTAGAAACAAATATGTTTTCTTAAGAAAATGTCACTATAAAATTCCATCAAAATCAGACTGGCTAATTGTTATATCAAATGTCAAACACATGTAAAAGTGTGACAAGGAAATTAACAAATTCAATTTACACCCTACACAACACAACATCACATCACTGTATCACCTGTGGTGATGGTGGAAGATAAGAAAGACAAAAAAAAAAAAAGGCTGTTTTCAGCTCACAACATTGCCCAAACTGAAGGGTAAAGCAGGAGGAACACAGGTTCTGGGCCAGCCAGGGTAGTGAAAGTTTGTCTCAAAACAAAATAAAAGGACTACAATGTGGCACAGAGATGGAGTACTCACCTTGTATTCTGGGGTTCAAATCCTAGCATTATGAAAAGAAAAAAAGGTGAAGAAGGAGGAAACGCAGATGTGAGAAGAGCTCAACAGTCTGAGAAGGTGATCAGTAAAGTTTAGAGTCAGCAAAGCAGAGAGGACTTTGGCCATGATCCTGTGGTAGGGGCTGGGGGAAGGTTATGTGGCTAGAGGAATATTTTCTCAAGATGCTCACAGATCCTATGCAAACCAAGGCCCAGGAGAACTAAAGGCTAAGAACTATATGAGCAGAGTCATGAGGACAAGAAGATACAGGAGTCCAGGGTCCAACAAAATCTGAGGACACTTTACATTCCACCAGATTTTATATGCAACCGAAGTACCCAGTAGAGAGATCTGGACAAGGAGAATGCAAATAAGCTGGCCTGAAACACAGCCCCGACTGGCTCCAGCTCTCATGAGCTTGAGGGGGTTCCTCTGGTCTGTGTAAGAAGCTAAAGAAATCTTACAGAAGTATTGCCAGGATAGCATGTCCAATATTTGACCTAAAGTTATTAGACGTATCAAGAAACAGAACCAAGAGAAGACAAACGAACAATAAGAACAACTTCAGGGGCCTGGAGAGGGTTTGCTCAACAGTTAAAGAATGCTTGCTGGCTGCTCTTGCAGAGGGCTGATTTGGTTCCCAGCACACATGCTGCTTGGCTCACAACTGCCTGCAACTCCAGGTCTAGGAAATTCAATATCTTCTCCTGGCCTCTGAGGCACCCAAACATGAAGGCACAGACACACAGAAATATACATAAATAAAAATAAATCCTTAATTAAAAGAAAGGAAATAAATTCACAGGTGATCTAGACACTAGAAATCACCAGATGCAAACATCATTAATCACAGTTAGAGATGAGAAGGGGAGGATGGGGGGAACTTGGGGAAACAGGATGATTGGGATAAAGGAAGGTTGGATAGGGGAGCAGGGAAGCACGTATCTTAATTAAGGGAGCCATCTTAGGGTTGGCAAGAGACTTGGACCTAGAGGGGCTCCCAGGTGCCCAGGGAGATGTCCCCAGTTAGTTCCTGGGGGAACTGAGGATAGGGAACCTGAAATGACCCTATCCTATAGCCATACTGATGAATATCTTGCATATCACCATAGAACCTTCATCTGGCGATGGATGGAGATAGAGACAGAGACCCACACTGGAGCACTGGGACTGAGCTCCCAATGTCCCAATGAGGAGCAGAAGGAGAGAGAACATGAGCAAAGAAGTCAGGACCACAAGGGGTGCACCCACCCACGGAGACAGTGGAGCTGATCTATTGGGAGCTCACCAAGGCCAGCTGGACTGTGACTGAAAAAGCATGGGATAAAACTGGACTCTCTGAATATGGCGGACAATGAGGGCTGCTGAGAAGCCAAGGACAATGGCACTGGGTTTTGATCCTACTTCATGTTCTGGCTTTGTGGGAGCCTAGCCAGCTTGGATGTTCACCTTCCTAGACCAGGATGGAGGGGGGAGGACTTTGGACTTTCCACAGGGCAGGGAACCCTGACTGCTCTCCAGACTGGAGAGGGAGGGGGAGAGAAGCGGGGGGAGGAGAGAAGAGTGAGAGGAGGAGGAGGGAAATGGGAGGCTGGGAGGAGGCGGAATTTTTTTTTCAATAAAAAAAATATAAAAAATTAAAAAAAAAGAATTGAAAACACAAAGGAAAACTTCATTAGTACAGCATTACCCTGATGAATCAAATGAACAGGTAAATGTAACAACTCTTGGAGTGACTGGCACAGAGCAGCACCACCAGCACTTGACGGAGACAATGTCATTCTCATAGTGTTGCTGCAATTAAATGTCTTCCATATAGCTGACCTACAGTAACTACCAGCCAGCCTTTAGTCACCAACGATTGCCAATGAACATGATATCAGCATCATCGTGTCCCAGGATCAAGGTGGAGTCTACTGTTATCACATCTAAAATAAGGATCAAGTGGGAAGAATCTGGTCTAATTTTGTTATGTTTTCAATCACCAGCAATATATTCTGAGTCTACCAATGCATTTCAGAAAAGATATCTTACAAACAGAGAAAGATGTTTACTAATGTGTACTTTGCCTTCTATCCCTTTAAAATGGCAGCTCATGGGGATACACATAAGCACAGTAGCCGAGCTTCTTTAGGCTGATGGGCACTCCACCTCATCCACACGGGTCTCAAGTTCAGCACACTCCAGAGATCCACTCAAGAATTTCTTAGAAGGCTATACCTCCAATACAAAAGGAAATGTGAGCGTGCTTTACAGGATGTCTGGGCACCTATACGTCAGACGTAATTATAAAACATTTCACAGAACATCCATGACTCTCCAGCGCTCTGTCTTCAGATTGCATTGCATCAACACAGTCTGAGCGGACAGCTGCAACAGCTCCTGAAGTGGAGGAAGTAGAAAGTGATCTGCTGGGGCCAGGAAAGGCAGGGCCACTTGCATCAGTCTTGAGACAAATATTCAGAAAACTGTTCTTTTGGGATTCAGAGGGTAGCTGCTATGGAAAAAAAAAAAAAAACCTTCAACCTCAAGTGCCCCTTCTACTTGCTGGATCTTAGAAGTTCCCAGAGCTACATTTTCTATCAATGTTGATAATAAAGATCAATTCATTGGGCTCAGGACCCAAATATCAAAAACTTGGTCATATAGCATGACCTGAGCAATCAGAAGGAAGTGGAAGGACCCTGGAGATGGGGATCTGCAGATGGGAAAAGATGGGAGGTGAAGACAGTGCACAAGGCAATCCAGCTTAGCGTAAGGCAGAGGACCTGCGACTGAAGGAGTAAGGTGGCCACTGGGGAAAGCTGGGAAGGGCAGCAAGTACGGGATGTGGGAAGCCATGGCGTCAGCAGGTAGGTACACTACTGAAATCTAGAAGGGGATCCTCTGGGCCAATAGTCAGAGGCAAGATTCCATCTCCAGAAGAGAAATCAAGACCAACAGTCCAAGAACCTGGGGAGAAGTTCCATCCTAACTAAGGCCTGGGACAAGAAGCAGCCATGGCCCAAGTGCTGGCTCCAGTACTCTAGGCAGATTAGATGTATAGTTCCCAAGGATGACAAACCCCACACATGCTCATATACTTTCTTCAAATGGTCTAGTGTTTGCACATAGCCTACATATGCTCTCTGGTGCATGCTAATTGTCTCTGGGTCACTTATATCTGAGACAGAGAAGTCATGAAAATAGCTGGCTTTTCTATGTTCTTTAGGAAATAACAGCAAGCAGAATCAGGTCTGTATATGTTCAACACAAATGCTTTTATTTCTTAAGATTTCTCATCTGCAGTTGGCTGAATCCAGATGTAGCACTATGAGTACACCTTGCCTGGTGTATAATGCAGGCATAAAATCTAGTTCAGCTCTGAAGTGACTCAGCTAGAAGGATGAGATGGTGGTAACCAGGAAAATCTCCTGAGGACACAGATTTCAGTTAATGCTGGGGTTTGCTTTGATCAACTCAAACAGACACCATCCTTGAATCCCCAAAACCCTAGGGTGTAGGAGCTAAATATATATGTCACTTCAAACTATGTTAGTTCCTTGTTTTAGTACTCTGACCAACTGAGTGATAGGGCTTATCAGCCCACATTTGAGGTTACAGGCCATCACGGTCAGCAGCAGGAATCTGCTCCCATCTGAGCAATTCAGAAAACAAGCCCAGGGGGATGCAGTCACTCAAGTGACATTTTCAGCCTGGAACCCAGGCCCACAGCTACTTCACAGTTTCAAGATAGGCCTTCTCTCAGCTGAACCTCTGGAAAGGCTCCTGATGACATGCCCAGAGGAGTGTCCCCTCAGTGATTTCTACTCCAGTCAAGCTGACAGTGAGCATTCACCATCGTATCAGCTGTCAAAGAAAAGCGCAAACAGTATGACGGAGACTGGGTATTAATCTATGCTACAGCAACAGCTTGAGTGAACACTGCCAGTGGGAGCACACAGCATGACAAGGGAACTGTTTCTGACAGTCGGGACAACACACATGGTGAACGCTTAAGTAAAGGTGGAAGATAAAACTAAAGAACAAAGATCTCGAAGGTCAACTTGTGGGATGGAGACTGTGAGGAAAAGACATTACAACCAGAGCTTAGAAAATCTGTTTAGCGGCACCACTGTAGATGCTGAAGAAGGAAGGGGACTCAGGATGGAGGCAGAGCCTGCATCACCATGTGCGGCTGGTACCTAGGAATCCAAAACTGACTCGCCAGAAGGCATCCTCTCCACCAGTTTCACTGCAGGGCTGACTACACGGTGGAAAGGTGACCAAGGACACAGACTGAAGTAGTAAGAGAAGTAGAACACATAGGACAAACAAACCTTCTGTTAACAGGAGGGTGCCGGCAGGGGTACTGTTTGCTTGGTTGCTGTGGCTGTCTTAAACTAGGTAAACAGCAAGCATCTTTACATCTTTAAAAAAAATTAATTCCACCTTCAAATTCTTTCTCCAATGGAGCATTTGGCAGAGGAAAATCCCAACAAACACTCAAGCTCCATGGAGCATCTACTGTTGACAAAGTAAGGAACACAACAGTGTGGATTTTAACCTTATCACCAATGTAATACACATAATGCAAAAATGTATGTATGCAATATTTTAATGATAATGACAAGTACATTAGACTGTAGTTTTGAATTACTCAGACCTGTATTTGAATCAAATGCTTACTCTATAATACAGCTTCCTGCATACCTTCAAGCATGGGTGCTTATATGCTCAGAAACTTAGAAGCTTCCCTCATCCACCTTCACAAGAGCCTCTCAAGTAAGAAGTTCTTTACGCAAGTCTGTAAAGAAAGATGTAGGCTGAGGACCTAAACCTGAGTGTGACTGTGAAGTCAAAGGAGTTTATATTCAAACTTCAAAGGCAAGTTCCCCTCCCCACTTAAGCTCTGGGTCTTCATAATGCCTTCGCATAGTTTTGTTATACATTAAGTTTTTAACAGGAGCTGGGCGGTGGTGGCACACACCTTTAATCCCAGCACTCAGGAGGCAGAAGCAGATGGATCTCCGTGAGTTCGAGGCCAGCCTGGTCTACAAGAGCTAGTGCCAGGACAGGCTCCAAAAGCTACGTGGAGAAACCCCGTCTCGAAAAAACAAAACAAAACAAAAGTTTTTAACAGGACACGTGGATATCATTTCAGAAAAGGTCCTCAGCTAATGCTGGCTTCCTTCTCTGCTCCTGGTATTCCATTCTAAAAGCACTTTCTTAGAATGTTCCTCTCTTATGGGTTTCTCTTCTCTGAGACCCTATCTATACACTCTAAGGGCACTGTGACTAATTGCTAGCTTACCTCCTAACAGGCAGGATCCATTCAAAGACCAAAGTCTTTATCTATCCCCAGCTTTGTACTTGGTTTCATGTACCTAGCATGTAGTATGTAGTATATGATCAATATATGTTTTTATCTCAATTCATTCAGGTCAATGTTTAAAGCAATTGCTATAACTGCCTGGATTGGCTTCATCCTAAACCCTTAGTCATGAAGCCCATCAATGTCACTTGAGATGTCAGGACTAAAGTACATCCTGCACAATCTGTTCTGCCACCTATAGTTCAGGGGCCAGCAAAGTCCAAGATGGCCATCACTGTTTCTAGTGATTAAGTTTTACTGGAACACACCCGTATCCACTCACTTACATACCACCTGAGCCACTACTGAATTTCAGTGATAAGCAGAGCACTTGAAGCAAGAGGTCTAAAAGCATGAATAATATATTTGTTATCTAGCCCCTTATTTACAGAACCTCACTGTTCTTTGTGTCAACACAATGAGTCAACAACCATAAAGTACTTACTGTGCACCAGCTACTGCAAAGAACATTATGAAATAGAGGAGCAATAAAGGAAAAGAGAATGTTCTCTATGAGAGACTATTAACTGGGAGTAGTGAGCAGCATATCTTCTTGCATTGGGTGAATGGGGAATTTCTCCAGGAAGGTGAAATATAACCCTGGCATGAACCACTCAGGATGGAGAAGAGAGGCTGCAGTCATCTGAGAGACAAGGCCAGGCCGCAGAGAGGGTCCACTATGAACCTAGCTCTGAGGAAGTTCTGGGAGAAGAAGGAGCACGAGCATAAGAGCCAGAGGGCAACACTGACTAACATTCTGTGTAGGCAGGGGTCCCGCCATGAAGCTGGAGCACCTGGTCAGTTATCTTACAATGTGAACACACATTTTTACATTTCTAAAGCATACATTTATTACAAAAACAGGAATTTTTACGAGCTCATATTTCAGATTCAGACAGGTGGCCCCCTCCACATCGGCCTCTGATTTTGTAGGTGAAGGGCTTAACTGATAGATAAAAAGGAGATGCTTGGTTTGCTGTTCCCCACCACTCGGGAATATAAGGCCAGAGTGCAAATCAGATCTATGCTACCCAATATTCCAGGGTTGTAATAACACCACTAAAGGGGCTCCACCTCTAATCACATCCACTGCTCTCCCAGAGTATCTGAACCTTCCAAGTACATGGATGATCAATTACCACATCACAGCTATGGCCAACAAAGCACTCATCTCCTCAAACAAATCAAATACTGTAAAAGAGACTGGCGCAGTTCCAGACTGGGCCATCTTTATAACACACAGACTCATAAGACATTCCCTAAGCGACAGAACACATCAACTAATCTGCATCTTGTGATGCTTCCATCTGGTGGTACCTAAAGAAGGGTAAAATGACAAAAGGGGCTGGTGTTTTTAAAGGAAATGGAGTTTTGTTTTTAAAAAAATAATACATTTTGTTACAAATAAAAAGTATTTACTCTGAGAGTCAATATTTTTCAAAAACATACAGTAACAGAGCTTTAAAAGAAAACAAAAACAAAAAACAAAAACCTATTCTAGAGCTAGGCATGGTAGCATTACCTTAAATCCCAGTTCTTAGGAGGTAAAGGCAAACAGATTTCTGAGTGTTCAAAGCCACCAAGGTCTACACAGTGAGCTCCAGAACAGTCATGGTTATACAGTGAGACTCTGTCTTAAAATACACAACCGTTTTAAGCACCTCAGTCATATGAACTCACTCACTCCATAACTACTTCATAAAACTGACATTCAGACATAGTAAAGATGTTCAAAGTGACAGCCCATGGCTTTAATACCTCGGCACGGCCCCTCTCAGTGATGATGCCCTCGGTTAGTGCACCATAACATATGCTTTGCTGAGAGGTGGGGCCTCTCTGTCTCCTGAGTACATTCTCAGTGGGATGTTTTTATCCTCACAAATTTCTCATTGCCACAGAAAATAAAACAGAAACACCTAAGAATTGTGAAGTTAGGAAATATGATGACCAATTAAGCCTCAGCACGTAATATTTGCTTCCTCGGATACTCATGGCGATGAGGCAGTGGAAGTTAACAGCACCAAGCATCTCCTGAAATCTCCTCAATGTGAGGCTGGCATTCTGCCTTGACGATCTCATTTGTCTTTTTTTTTATTAGATTTTTTAATCTAATCAAATTTAATCCAATTTAAACCAATCCAAATTCCCACTCCCTCCTTTCCTCCCATTCCTTCCACACACCCTCCCAGCCCCCCTCCCCTCTAATCCTAAGAGAGGGTAAGGCACTTTGCTTTGTGGAAGGTCCAAGGCCCTCCCTACTATATCTAGGCTGAGCAAGGTATACATCCAAAGAGAATAGGTTCCCAAAAAGCCAGTACATGCAGTAGAGACAAATCCCAGTGCCACTGTCAGTGGCCCCTCAGTCTGCCACAGCCATACAACTGTAAACAGCATTCAGAGGGAATAGTTCAGTCCTATGCTTTTTCCTTCTCAGTCCAGCTGGAGTTGGTGAGCTCCCCCATTAGCTCAGGTAAACTGTTTCAGTGGATGAACCCTTCA